GTTATCGCACTTCAAGCTTGGGAAAAGTGTGTTAAATGATTCCAAAAGGGGGCAGGGTGCTTGTGAGGTGGTTGGCAATATGATTGGCTGCCCTCGAGGTTATCTCATAAATATCTCCTAGTCGGAGATTGAGGTTGTGAGGTGGAAACCTGTGAAGGGCGTCCCGGGAGGCAGGATCTTTGGGTTTTCTGTCACTTCTTTGGTGGCTCTTAAGTAAGGCTACATTTTAGTCACAGGTATTTTTAGAAAAAGTCATGGACAAGCTCCCTAGAAGTGGCCAGCATGTCCCTGAGGTTCCTCGGGGGAGAGAAGGCCAGGGGGGCTTTATGCGCTGGCCCACAATGACCACCAGCTCCGCAGCTTCCACTGGCCGGGAACCGCAGCCAATGGGAGCTGTGGGGGCAATGCCTGTAGGCAGGGGCAGCAGCTCGCAGAGCCCGCTGGTCCCTCCGCCGAGGAGCTGCAGGGACATGCCGGCTACTTCTGGGGAGCTCTCCCCTCCCCAAAGGTAGGCATGGCCGCACACCCCAATTCCCTGACCCCAGCCCTGAGCCACAGCCAAACTGTTGCTGCTGATGGCTCTGGGGCTGTCCAGCTTGGCAGCCCCTGAACCAGCTGCAGCAGCCACTGCGGAAGTCATAGAGGTCAGGGAACATCATGGAATCCATGACTTCCACGACCTCCGTGACAGACACGCAGCCTTGCTCATAAGGTCTCTGAGGGTAGAATTAGGGGAATCTATAGTGTTGGGTGGGTGGTGGGCGGTAGAATTTACACTTCAGGGTGGCAGTGTAGATGCCCAGCAAGCAAAGGGTGGCTCTGGAGTCCTGGATTTTATGTAGCAATTCATCAGTCTTTTGATTAAATAGATGGGATTCATCGAAGGAGAGCTCTTCGATAGTGTTCTGTACCTCACTAGGAAAGCCAGAGGATTCCCTACACATAATTATGGCTGTAGCCATGGTCCTGGAGGATCTGCATCCACTGCCAGTTGGAGCGCTGTTCTTGCTACCAGCTTCCCTTCCTCAGTGAGCTCCGGAAAATGAGTCTGATCCTGTTGTGGAAGGCTATCGGCAAATTTAGCAAATTTGCTGTAATTCAGGAAGTCATATTTGTTTAGTAACACCTCATTGTTCATAACCCTAAATTGGAGGCTGGCTGAGAAAAAGACATTACACCCCAAAAGATCCTGCACGTCTTCCTTGTCAGATGGTGTAGAGCGAGGGTGCTGTTGTCTGGCTCATTCCTTGCTTAAACAACCAGGAAGTTTGGAGGGAGGAAGTGAGATGAGAAACTCAGAATCCTTAGCCAGAATGTAATAGTGTCTTTCTGCCCCTTTGGGGGTAGGTGTGCATGCCATACTGTCCTGGCAAGCTCGAGAATGGCATTATTAATAGGCAATGCAACCCTTGGTGCCTAGGAATGGAGGATATCCAGGAGCTTCTGCTGGGTGTCTTGGATTTCCTCTAGGGGAATGTGGCGTTCCCCCAATACTCTGCACAGCAGTTCTTGGAAATACCTGAAGTCATCCGGAGCTGAAGGGGACACTGTAGTCACTGTCTCATCTGGAGAAGAGGGAAATCTCACTGGTTCCGGTGGCACTCTTGGAGCCAAGCTAAGGGTTCCTCCTCCACCCAGCTTATCCGAGCACCTACTAGAAGGGGCCCTCAATGGAGAGGCAGGTGAAGGTTCCCAATACATCAGCCTTAGGGGTATACTTCCTTACCTCCCAACTAGGCCCCGGCATGGGGTCCATAGGTGTGGTTCCCCTGGAGCCAGATTTGGACTCAGTGGCAAGGGGAATGCTCCTCATTGTTTCAAGCTAATGCACTGGGTGTGAGGTCCCCCAGCTTGGGGGCATAGTCCAGTACCCACATGTGAGTATGGGGAAGGGGAGGATAGAGAAACAAACCTCCAATCTATCTACACTAATTACTAAAAACTATGATAAAACTACAATAAAACTGGTAAAACTACTATAAAAGTCAAATTCTAAAAGCTATTAACAACTGTGTATTTAAAGGTGCGTCAGAGACAAGGGCACTGAAAGTTCCGACCCGGACCAGATGGCGGTGAGGAAGAATGGGAGACATGGTCGGTCCACTCCACCCTTTATCGTCTCAGATGAAAGCATGACACGAGCCAGGGCACATATGTGGACCAGTGGACACTATTTTCAAATTCTCAGACTCCAGGGACATGATGCATATGTGTAACCCTTAGTGGAATACAATAGCGACCAAGAAGAACCCTCCAGATTTTAACAACACAGCAATACATAAGAGTAGAATTTGGTCCAGCTATTATTACCCTAATGTTGTTTGCATAATATGTAGTACATGAAGAACACTATACATAGAGCTTAATGTTTACCACACCAAGATCTGAGCAAGCAACCAGCCTGAAAGAATGGAATTCTGTAAAGGAGAAGAAAGGTACAGTTTTCTCTTCCTCCATGGAAAACTGCCTCCCATGCAGATGATGCAAGAAGAACCTGAAAGCCCTATTTCAAAAGGACATATTTGCTACTGGGAAGAGACCTGGAAAAGTAGTGTAATGTGCTGAATGGGGCAGAAGCAGAGAGAGTTGAGTCAATTTGGGAGTGGGAGAAAGAAAGGAGGGTTAGATAGTCAGGAGGAAGAAACCAGTAACAGAGCATTCTGGAGTCTGTGAGTGGAAATACAGCCTTATAATGCAGAGTGGAGATAGACTATGTAGCAAGAGGATTCAGAGAATTGGGAGCTGAGGAACCATAGCTGGGGAGGGAGGTAGAATTCAGAGACTGTGTAGGGGGACGTGGCAAGTACAGCCCAGTAGTTATTGCTAATGACTGCACCACAACTAAGGTGGGGCAGAGTTTGTCTGGGGCTTACCCAGGAAGGACAGCTCTGCTTTATGGGGGAGGGGGCGGGAGAGGGAGGAAGGAGGTCAGAAACTGCTGTAAAAAAGGTGCTCGTTGGTCAGCTTTGCAGCAATGACTCACCTTCACCCACCCACCCCAAATCTGAGGTCTGAAGGGCATAAAGGTATGAAACCTGGGTGGGGCAAGTCTCTTTGTTCCATGCTGCGAGGAAGCCGGCACCCACCCTCCCCTAGTGGAGGTCAATGGAAGGCTGGGTTAGGACCTGCTGTGGGCATTACGCTAGTTGCTCCTTTTAAAGGGGGGCTGGGAAGGAATTTTTCCCGCACCATTTGAATTGTGGAGTGAGGTTTTTTTGCCTTCCCCAAAGCGGGTGTGAGGGAGGACCTTTTCTGGTAAGAAGAAAAGGTGGTAGGCTGTATGTCGCAACTTATTTTGTAAGGTTGGGCGGATGTCCAGTGTAGGTACTCCATAGGGAAGGCAGCCAGTGACAATATAAATGGCCTGGTAAAGGACTTAAAAGGAGGTACTGGATAAAGGAACAGAATGGGGGAGGGGGTTGGGGATTCCTCTGATTGGTATGGCAGGGAGCCAACCCCCCGCCCACACCCCATTCTCATAGCCCACCTTAACCCTCTTACGAGGGTGGTGGATGGTAAGGTCCAAGCCATGGGTCGGCTGGGGGACCTTGATGGAAACAAAGGGGGGCTGGTGAAAGCCCCGGAGAATTGATTTGAATAAACATGGATTTGCCTGCACTGTACACTTTATCTGCTGGGTAGTCCCAGACATCTATATAATGAAGTTGCGGCCTGATAAAATTCATAATAAGTGTCTCCTGTCCTTCTTCCGGTCTACTCAGACAATGTGAAGGTGAAGCTATGAAACTTCCCACAGATTGTGTTTGTCTCATTTCTATTTTCCTTTTTATCCTGCCCTTTTTTGTTTGAGAAACTCAACAAACTGTCTCTAATGCCTTAGCATCTTTTAACTCAATTGCCTAGTATGATGATGATGGGCGATCACTCGTTACAGAGTATGATCATCTTCCATGGGAGTTTGAATTTCTGCATCAATATCTGCCTTGGAGGAAAGATGACTTCCAAGGTAGAGGAAATGATCGACATTCTCCAGTGCCACTCCATTAATTTTGATAGATGGGGCATGTAATAGCTCATTTGGAGAGGGCTGATAGAGCACTTTAGTCTTCTTGATATTAAGAGTGAAACCAAGACATGTGTAAGCATCGGCAAACACATTCAAGATAGTTTGAAGATCTTTCTCAGACTGGGCAAAAATTGCATTGTCAACAGCATACTGAAGTTCAACAATAGATATTGTGGAAATCTTACTCTTGGCTTTCAGCCTGCTAAGCCTGAATAGCTTTCCATCCATTCCGTAAATGATTTCAACACCAGCTGTAAACTTCCCAGCAATTAGGTAAAGAATGACGGTAATAAAAACTGCAAACATGGTTGACTCCTGTTTGTACTTTGAAAGGTTCTCTCTAGGAGCCAGTGCTGCTCAGAACAGTCGCTTTCATGAAGAAATTTTAGGACATTGATGTGTTTATCAGGACATCCATGCCTAGTATATAACATAATTATTTATATTTATCACTCCATGTCTGAAATACTTTGCCTTTATATTCTTTCCAAAAGTCCTTAGCTTATCTTTGAGAAACTGAATTGCCCTAGGAACATTACAAAGTATTTTCAGAATACATTGACTATAGATGTCTGAACATTTACAGGTAATACATGTAACCCGCTACTTGAAAAGCTGCCAATTATATTTACTCTAAATGTATTGTGCCAACTTTTCAATATAAAAAATTCAGATTAGTAATAAAGATAAAGGACAATTTATGAGTTCTTGGTTCAAATGCCAATTTAATTTTACTATTCTTTTTCAATTTCTGGTAACGAATACTGCTAAAGACAAGATAAACAACAAAGGAAGAGACTAGAGGTCATGAGTTATTGACAGATGCATTATTAACCACATTATTCTTTATAAAACAATAGGCATTTTATTTGAAGTGACCTTTACAATAGGAAAAACTTCTAAAACTATTACGCTGTAGTATATTTTGAAAATTAGAGAATAAGCAAGCTGTGAAATACACAAACACACTTACTGGCCCTCTCAAATCAATGAGTTCCTGCCTCATTTGGGATACAAGAGCTTCTTTAGCCATCAAAGCACGGTGTAGTCGCTCATTGAATTCTATAAGCTCCCCATGCATTTCTGCCACCTGAAAGACATACAACCAAAATGTTAGATAGAAGAGAACAAAGCTCCCGAGATGAAGACATTTCTCTCTATATTGAAAAGATCAACAATATAGTTTCATATCCATGTATACAGTTCCTGTGAAATCAAAAATATTTATTTCCTAATTAATGCACAGTATTGTTAACGTAGTAGTTTGGACAGTAACATTAATGACAGACAAATGCAGTTACAACACATAAAAATCTCGGCCTGATTCATACCACCCAGGTTACCTTGCAATTGTAATGCAGATACTGGCATCTACTTTGATCACACAACATTTCAGTTCAAACTTTATATCCTGTATCTGAGAAAGGTGGGTGACAAGGGACCAATAGTGTAGTAATTCATATGATACTATTGTCGGTTTAATTGTTTGGATGAATGAAAAGCGCTCATAAAAGTAATGGATTAATAGAAGTAATTTAAATTAGAAACAGTGCACACAGGCAATTCACATATAGCTCTGCTCCAGAGCTGTGCCCTGCAATGCTCCTACTATCCCACTCAAGCAGAAACTACCAAATTGTCCCAAGTTGTATGATATTTTGTGATAACAAATCGGGCTGAAAGAAAAGGGTATTTGCACAGTCTCAGAAACCAAATAACCCAACCTTTTGCTGCTGCATAAAAAACCAAAGATGAAACTCAGACTTATGTGAAAGAGAATATTGACCTCCAAAATTTTACTTACAGAAAGGTATATTTACATAAAAATATAATTTGTTTAAATATTGATTTTAAAACAAAACTTTCTAATGGTCTAAATAATACATGACTACATTCTATTTTGTAGTAATGTGCAGAACAGTTCTGGATTTTGTTCGCAGCCATTTACATGACTTATTTTTTCAGAGTAGATCTGTCGTCTCCTCTTCAAAGGAGCAGGGAACCAGGCCCAGTGGAAGTTAGGATGCCCGGGTAGCTGCTCTAACTTACACGATCGGCAAAATGTCCTTTAAGTCTGTACCACACCACCTATCCATCTTCTGGGAGAGTGGAGAAGGAGGTGCAGCAGATGCTGGCACAGGAGCCACTTCCACCAGCCTTATGCCATCGAAGATTTCTCCTGCACAAGGCAATTCTCAGCTGGTCATCTCCAACCAGAATCCAGAATTAGGACAGAGAAGACTGGAGAATTCAGCCCATGGTCTTAACATGACCCAGAAGAAATGAATTTATATGCACTGCTATAAAACAGTACATAATGCTTTATAGACTTTCTGAGCCTATTTTGCTTTCTGAACTGTAATTTTTTGTGAATTTATCTAAAATACTCAAAGCATTTCAGAACACTTTATAGAGATTTTGTTGATTTCTTTGTTTCTTGTGTTATAAGAGAAATACCTAAAAAAGAAAATCATTTTACTGAGATTAAACTTTTACCACCCAATTCTAATTTTCTTCCAATTTGAACTTTTCATTTACAGGCCACTAATACTAGTACACCCTCTGTTTGGTATCCTATGTAAAATATGCCCACTGCAACCTTTATGCACATGGATCTTTGTCCAGCTAGCTGGAAGGAAAGAGGTCTTGTCTTTTTAAGGGCTCCCTTACAGCACATGAGAATATAGGGAACAGTTTATAGGGATGGACAGGAAGAGCAGGAAGCAGTTGGGGCCAAGTTTCACTGCCCTTCCTGTTGATCAGAAGAATGTGTGTGATTGGGGGAGAGGGGGGAGTATTTATGCCCCCTGTAGAGGCCCTCTTTACCAGGATTGGGCTGGCAGCACCCACCCACGAACTAGGCATAACAACTGGGTTCCCTATTGATCTGCTGTGGGCATTACACTAGTTGCCCTTTTGCTTGGGAGACTGGAAAGGAATTTTTCCATCGCTGCCAATTGGCCAAAGCAGACTGGGGTTTTTTTACTTCCCCACAAGGGACGGGAAGCAGGCTATGTCACAACTTAATATATAAAACTTGTGGCGGATGTCCAGTGTGGGTACATTATAGAAAGGATACAGTTATTGGATAAAATAGATTGGGAAAGGATTTGAAGGAAAGCATCTCTTAAGGCAACTGAGTAAGACGGTTTGGGGCTCCTACGTCTGGAACAGCAGGGAGACAATCCGCTCCTTCCCTCACCATACAATTGTTGCTGGGTATTCCCAGATATTATTGTAGCCCAGTGGTTCCCAAACTGGGGTTCGTGAACCCCTGGGGGTTCACGAAATGTTACAGGGGGTTCTCGGGAAAAAAATCCCTAATGGTGGCCAGAGCTGTCCCTAGGAACCTCGGGCAACACGGGGTCAGCAGCCCAGAGCCCCTGGACTTCCAAGAGCTAAGAGGATCAAAGCAAGTATCTCTATCACACTGAGATTTAAACTTCAAGACTCCTTATAAGAAATGGAAAGGGAGGTGGCTATTTTTTGCTGTTTTTAAAATTAAATAGGCAGTTAGTATTGTTTTTAAAATTATTATGATGAACATGTTTAAGCTTTATTGTAACGTGCATTGTTTGCCTGGACTGCTCAAGACCTGAATGCTTGTGTAGGAGGAACTCTTTGAGTTGGCTTCTTAAATACCTTCATGCTGTTTCACATCTGATATTCCTTGATGAAACATAGGAGCCTTGTCTTATAACAGGCTTATTCAAAGTGATACAAGCTACGAAAGTGAGATCTTGGAAGTGTGTTGCCATTTTCATAATGTAATAAAAATACTGTAATGATAAATAAGAACATAAGAATGGCCCTACTGGGTCAGACCAAGGGTCCATCTAGCCCAGTGTCCTGTCTTCCGACAGTGGCCAGTGCCAGGTGCCCCAGAGGGAATGAACAGATCAGGTAATCATCAAATGATCCATCCCCTTTCGCTCATTCCCAGCTTCTGGCAAACAGAGGCCAGGGACGCTTAATAATAAACAGTGTGTAATAAGCATGTCATAAAAACAAATTTTATATTTCCAAGATCACTGCTTTTATAATTTATACTCAGGTAAATGAGAAAATCCCTGGAAATATTCATTTTTAGGAGTGGGTTTGCGAGACTTGACATTTTACTGAAAGGGGTTCAAAGGTTGTTAAAGTTTGGGAACCACTGTTGTAGCCTAATTAAACTACATCCATGGCCTTCTGTCTTTCTTCTAGTGCGGACAAAGAGTTGGGCTAAGGCCAGTTCTTTGTTTACTGTGTCATCAACGTCCAAACAATTGTGGGAACCTCAGCGAATTGTGAATTATTAAATGGTCTCAAAGATTAAACTAACCACTCGCTCTCTTCGTTGTGGTGCTATGGGGAAGAACTTTAAAATTACCAGAAAATTCAAAAGTGAAGGTTCTCATAGTAATGTTAACTCAGCAGAACATACATAGAAACTTCTATCACTGTTTGTGTGGTTAAATAAGAAGTTTAATACTAACAGTGTTAATTTTAAATTATAGATAACAAAATATGCAAAACTTGTAATATGGTTGAGTTGACACTTCAGCTTTGAACTTTCTGACTTTTTAAACTAGGAAACCTTAACACTGCATTAATATATCAGTTGTTTGCTTGTTGTGTGCAATTTTAATTCACTGCCTTTGTTTCTGTACTTGTCATGCTTTTCTGTTCTACTTAATCCCATTAGAGGGGCTCACTCCTCAGCCTCATTTGATTAGAGACTTCCTCATTAATTAATCTATTCGGGCTTCTTTTGATAAGATCAAAACATTAAGACTTCCAACACCAACAACTATGGCATTATGTATTCAAATCCCAACTGTTCACTGAACATCAATCTTGATGAAGGCTGTTTAACTTCAAACACTTGCTAGTAAATTAGTAAGCTTATTTTAGTCAAAATAAAAGATACCTAAAAACACAATTTCTGCATCTTAACTAAGGCAAGGTCTATAACTACATCACTCAGGGGTGTGAAAAATCCACACCTCTGAGGCTAGGTCTACACTACCCGCCTGAATCAGCGGGTAGAAATCGACCTCTCGGGGATCGATTTATCGCGTCCCGTCGGGCCGCGACAATCGATCCCCGAATCGACGCTCTTACTCCACCAGCGGAGGTGGGAGTAAGCGCCGTCGACAGAAAGCC